CGCTGTCCCTCAGCTCTTCAGCTCAAGGCTAGCGCTCTACCACTTGAGCCACAGCGCCACTTCCGGCTTTTTTCTTTTTGCTTATGTGGTGCTGAGGAACCAAACCCAGGGCCTTGAGCATGCAAGGCAAGTGCTCTACCACTAAGCCACCTTCCCAGCCCCAAGGCCGTGAAATTCTTATCCCTAATAAACCACCAAAAACTGGAAGTGGTCCTATGGCTCAAGAGGTAAAGCGCTAGCCTTGAGCTGAAGAGCTGAGGGACAGCGCCCAGGCTATCAAAGAAAAGTAACCTTGTTGTTTGGTTAGTTGGCTGGTTTTTGCACTTACTAGGGAGGTATTTTACTACTTGAGACATGGAGCCAGCACAGTTTTTTCCAATTGGTTTTTAGGGTAAGTTTTGTACTTTTACCCAGGCTGGCCTCATACCTCTATCTTCCTATTTGTTTCTTAGCTAAGTCCATGCCATCTCAACCCAGCTTCTATTGGTTGAGATAGAGTGTTACAAACCTTTTGTCTGAGCTGGGCTTGAACTGCAAGCCACTCAATCTTTATCTCTTAAACAGCTAGGGTTACAGGCATAAGCCACCTTGCCCAACCTAGAAAATTTACTTAACAGATGGCTGTCCAAATGAGCTCTTCCTATATAGGAAGTGGTGTCCTAAGAAGGAAGACTCTTTTGGGCCAATATTGGTTGCAATACATTTATAATATTCAGCATTCATTCTCCAGGTCTAGCCACCATGGTGACATTAAGTACCATTGCACCTCCTTAGCAAAAGATGAAGGCTCTTTGAAAACTTGCTTTTTAAAAATACCAACGACACAACTACTGAGAGAATTTTCTCTCTACCTAGAAATCTCAAAATACACAGACACAAAAATTGTCAATAATGAGTCCAGGAAACCCGATGATGATCTCAGCACAAAATCCAGGATCTACTCACTTTTTCAGTAAAAGGCGCCGGGAAAGAGCGTTACACTCCGGCCACCTGCTCAGCTTCTTGTACATAGCCATGCATTTGTTCTCTCGACTCTGAATCTCACTTGTCAACTTCTCTATAACACAAAGTTACGAAAGTTGGTGAGTTGGTGCCATTTCCACCCCAAACCAGAAAAAAGTGCAATCATAGATGGGAAAAGGTTTCATTTTCCTTATTTACTCCTTAAAAAATGGGATTGATCTTAAACCCAAGCTTATAATAAAGATTTCACTTAAGAGAACAAAGGAGGGGCCCTGGGTTCAATTCCTCAGCACCATATAAACAGAAAAAGCTGGAAGTGGCACTGTGGCTCAAGTGGTAGAGCATTCACCTTCAGCTGAAGAGCTGAGGGACAGGGGTCAGGCCTCGAGTTCAAAGCCCCATGACCAACCCCCCCCCAACAAAAAGAGAAAACAAAGGATATTTCTAATGCTAAATTTTCATAATTGCTTTGTCAGTTAAAAACAAGGGTGCACTGGGCTAGGAATGTGCCTTGGTGGTAGAGTGCTTGCCTAGCATACATGAAGCCCTGGGTTCAATTACTGGGAAAAGCCAGAAGTGGCGCTGTGGCTCAAGTGGTAGAGTGCTAACCTTGAGCAAAAGAAACTCAGGGACAGTGAGTACCCAAGCCCTGAGTTCAAACCCCAAGACTGGCCAAAAAGGGAAAAAAAAAAAAAAAAGAGGTATACAATGGAGATTGCGTATGTGGAAGACTCATAAAACTACTCCAACAAATTTAGCCCAGGCAAACAGTTGGGTTTTTTTTTTGGGGGGGGAGGGGGAGTCGTGGGACAGGGTCTGGGCACCATCCCTGAGCTTTGCTCAAGTCTAGTGCTGTACCACTTTGAGCCACAGTGCCACTTCCAGTTTTCTGGTGGTTCACTGGAGAGCCTCAGAGACTTTCCTGCGCAGGCTGGTTTTGAACCACATCTTGAAATCTCAGCCTTCTGAGTAACTAGGATTACAAATATGAGCCACCAGTGCCTGGCACAGTTCTTTTGTGTATGTGTTTGTATGCATACATGTGACTGTATGCACTGAAGTGGTGCCAGAAAAATTAATTAACAACATATAGAAAAATCTGTAAGAATATTACAAAGTTATCAATCACAAGTGAATCTATAACATTTTAACATGTTTACTTTTTATGAGAAAAAATTTAGCACAATAATTTTTATGCTTAAACAAAAAAAAAATTCAGGAAAACTTTTAAAATTACCTCCTAATTTCCCCCTAATGACATCCAAGGCTTGCTGGTACTTCCCCAAGCGTTCCAGGATCATATAATAAAGTTCAACCTTACAGAAGACATAAATGAGGACAACCATTACAATTTTTCAATAATAACATCATCATGTGTATGTTTTTGTTGGTTTTTAACACTTATTTAATAGAACACTATCCTCCAGTGAGATGAAACTTCCCACCCACACATCTCATCCTAGGGTACTTGCTAAAGACCAGAAAGCTTCAATTATAGGCAGGGCAGAGATGGAGAGGCTAGGTGAAACTAGACTAGAGTTAACAGTACTTTAGCACAATATTGTGAGACTACTAAAATCACACTTACCTCAGCCTCAGCCTCGATCTTGTCCTCTTTCACCATTTTTTCTACCATTCTCTCGGCAAGGGGCAGAAACATGGTTTTAGACAGGTTTTCATCCTGTGCTGATATAGACTAGAAGGGGAAAAATAAATGTTTCATTCTAACTTTTCCCCTGCTTGCACTATTCCTATTAACACGCAACTCTGAAATATAACTGCTGATCCAACGTGTCACATAGCTGATCTACTCTGAACCTGCCAACTGGACATGTAAGAGATTATGTGCTTTACAAGAGATTCCTTCACCACAGCTTCACCAACCAGTGCATTTTTGAGATGCTAGACTTCCACCATGACATATCCCTGCATTTCTTTAGAAATATGAAGCCCTGTGTAAGCTTGTCATACGTCAACAATGTCCTCAGCTGTAAGGAAGGAGAAATGCCGATTCTTCTCATTTATAGTTACTGGCTACAATTACCTTAAATACTGTCTGACCCCAGAATGCCTATTCTTAATCACTACATTTTAACTATTCTTCCGCATCTTCTCCTACAAAGAATCTCACTTTGCTGCTTACAGTAAGCATCTCCATTCCACAAAAGAGCAAGCCAAGGCTCAGAAAGGAAAACACTAAATGAAGGCTGACCCATTCAATGACTGCTCACTCACCTATAACACTGCCTCTATCATCTCCAGACTGAGCTTCATGCCTGACCAAATAACCCAGCAATGGATCAAACACTCAGGGGAAATGGAGTCTCTGTTATGTACAAATAAACTGATATACCAACTAAGGCCTAAGGCCTGGTATCCCAGAACTCAGGAGGCAGAAGCAGCAGGATCTCCAGTTTTAGCCTAACCTGGGCTACTTAGAGTTCAAAGCCAGCCTGGGCTGTGTAGAAGAAAGGAGGGAAGAAGCGAAAGAAGTGGAAGAGAAGGAGGAGGAAGAGGAGAAAAAAGATACCAAGCATCCCTACCTAGGAAAATCACCTGACAATAAGTCTTATATTTAACACTCACTGCAGTATGTTCAGAAACACTTTAAGAAAATAAATTTTTAAAGACATACTTTGATGCATTCCAAATGCCATACTCACTTGCATAATTAAGCTCATCACAGACCAAAAGTAGTAAGGGTTTTTGGGGACAATCTTATATAGAGCCATGCCAGCCTGAAAGAGAGCCATTAAATTAGAATAACTAATTTAGAAAATATCACATAGAGATCAATTAATAAGCTAGGTATGAAGGAAACAATAAATAAAAATAATCTAGGTACGTAGAAGAAGTTTCCTAAAAGACCAGCATCACATTTACATATCCCAGATGAGAGCCAAGTTACTTAATGATGACAGCAGTCATCAGAAGGGGGTTCTATATCTTGAGTGCTATTTTCACCTTTCCAACTATCTTATTCTAAGAGAAAAGCCCAAATATTCACAGACTACAACATGATCTAATACAGTTCTACAGGCTACCATGCAAACACACAAGTCTTACAAATATTTATCAGTAAGCAATCATTCCTGAAAATGCCACAATAACCACTTAAAGTAAAACAAAGAAAAGCAGATAGTAATAAGGCAGCGTGGCACATACCTGTAATCTGGGCACTAATGAATCAAAGGATGGAATATCAAGAGTTTAAAGGCCAGGCTGGACTATATACTACCAAACAAGCAAACAACAGAAAAAGAAAACAAAAAACCTCAAGCGGAATATTTAAACATCAAAATCAAGAGTACAAGGACATAAATCAAAAAATAATTCTTAAATTAGGAAAACAGGTTCTTTCAAGATAGCAATCAAAATTAAGCCTTTCATTGTGAAATGTACAATATGCAGCATTACTTCAATGCAGGGACATGACAAAATGAAATAATATACTTATTCAAGCATATCTGAGAACCTATTCATAATGAGCTAACTGGAAGCTAGAAGTCTGTTTACTAATCATCATAGTCACTGTTTTATGTCTTTTACTCTTCTGCCAATTGTCAATCCACTTCCAAAGTTACATGAGCCCCAATAAAGCATAAAGGGCTGTCTATTCCTGCCAATGAATTAATGATTGTAGCCCTGTCCCAAAAGCTCTAAAAGTTAAGAAAAGAACTCTTGAAATCCTAGGTTTCATCCCCTGTAAGGCCAAAGGGTGTGGGGGGGAGGGGGAGGGGAGTAGCAAGCGGAGAAGGAAGGGGAGAGAGAGAGAAGAAAGAGAAGCTAGGAAGATATGATAAATACACAACTGCAATTTAATTAACAATAAAAATGCATACTAAAATGCCATGGCAGTGCGGGGAATGTGGCTCAGTGGTAGAGTACTTGCTTAGCATGCATGAAGCCCTGGGCTCAATTCCTCAATACCACAAAAAGAGATAAAGCTGGAAGTGGTGCTGTGGCTCAAGTGGTAGAGTGCTAGCCTTGAACAAAAGCAGCCCAGGAACAGTGCCTAGGCCCGGAGTTCAAGCCCCAGGACTGGCAAAAAAAAAACAAAAAACACCATGGTATGGTAGGTTTTTCCAAGAAAAATTTAGTTAAGTTTATTTCCTTTCTACTTTCTTTAAGGAAAACTGGGAGGAGACTGGTATGTGTAAAGCCTCTAGGAAGCAGCACTCGTTCAGCAGTCAGACAGGTGCTGCCAGGCAAAGACCTGAGGTGAGGCTGTGGATGCAAGAACAAATATTTGGCTGGGGGTAAGTAACTACATCAGTTCTAAGATGGGAAAAATATCAAAGTAAGTAAAAAAAAAATCTAGGTGAAGTTCAGAGGTAGCTTAGCAAACACGGGGCCTGTGTCCAAGTCCCAGAACCCCTAAAAAAAAATAAAAAAATAAAGGGCTGAGATGTAGCTCAGTAATAGAATACCTGCTCAGCGTGTATGTGCAAGGACCTAATTATAATCTCTAGCACAATTTTTAAAAGGTGGGGGAGATCTTTGGAGGCATGGCTCAGGTGGTAGAGCCCACCTAGCAAGAACCTAGCAAGCACCTTGCAAACACCTAGCAAGCACCTAGCAAGCATAAGATGGAATTCAAAATCCATGTGCCAGTGGTTCACACCTATAATCCTAGCTACTCAGGAGACTAAGATCTGAGGAGCAAGGTTGAGGCCAGCCCAGGCAAGAAAGTCCATGAGTCTAATCTCCAATCAACTTGTGGGGGGAAAAGCCAGAAGTGGAGCTGTAGGCTCAAGTGGTAGAATAGAAAAGCTCAGAGACAACACCCAGACCCTCAGTTCAAGCCCCAGGTCTGGCACAGAAAAAAGGAAGGAAGGAAGGGAGGGAGGGACGGAGGGACGGAGGGAGGGAGGGAGGGAGGGAGGAAAAGGGGTTGCAAGGCAGACTGTGGGTACCTTTGTTGAGAAGTTTTCGAAAAGGACTCTATAGAAAGCAGGAAAATGATACATATAAATCAACTTTTCAGGGAATTCTATGTTAGCACTACTGTGCAGACAGAAAACAGGAAGAAAGGAGGCATTAAACAAGGATGAGGTAGATCAAAAAGAGAAGAGGTCTGAAAGCAATATGGAGTATATTCCAAAGGATTGGACAGACAGCCTAGGATGGCCTGAAGTCCCTGTAGCTGAGACTGGGGTACACACACTGGAGGAATGGGATGAAAACCGTTAGAAACAGTCTGACATCGTAACTGTTAATGAGCTTTTTGTGTGGGTGTTTCATTCCTCTCTAATGTCAGCTTTATCAATACACTAGTTCAGACAGGTCCATGTCCAGATGAAGCCCCTCAAATACACACACAAAACACTAACTGGCAAGAAGCTGCCTCAGGAAAATATTAAAAACAAAAAGTCACTCAAACAATGAAGACTTTTTTTCCCCTTCTAAAAAATCTCACCATGGCCTGGCCCTAGCAGTTCAAGCCTGTAATCCTAGTTACTCAGGAGGTGAGATCTAAGGATTGAGGCAAAAAGCCAGCCTGGGCAGAAACGTCCATGAGATTCTTATCTCAAGTAAATAAGCCAAAAGCCAGAAGTGGAGCCGTGGCTCAAGCAGAAGAGTATCAGTCTTGAGTAGAGAAAACCAAGAGTGCAAAGCACTGAATTCAAGCTCCAGTGCTGGTACAAATTTAAAAACAACCACAACAATAATGAACAAAAATAAAAACCCCAGCAGATAAGAGTTGTCCAGAGAGCATGGCTCAGCAGCATTGCGTTAGTTAAACATGAGGCCTAAGTTCAAACCCAAGTGCCACCTAAAATTTAAAAAACAAAAACAAAATCCAGAAGGCTACAAACACTTAAATTTACAAACTAGATGAAACTTTAAAATTATTCTCCCGATAGTCTATTCATTTCAGATTGCTATCTGATGCAGTAGGACAGTTACCGAAACCAAACAAAACATACCATTAAGCCACACAAGAGCAATCAACTCTTTCTCAAATAAGACACCTTTAATAAATGTGGCTGATCACCACAAACCAACATATAATTTTAATTCTATACACACACACAACACAGCAATTAAACCACATTACCACTTAACAGTGACCCCACAGCCCGATGGATACGGGGCTCAATTACCTGTTGCATTTTCTTGTATTCCCCCACTCTGGCATAGGCCATGAAGAGGTGCGAGTGGTATTCCTCACTATTGGGAACTTTCTTCACAGCTGCCTCATAAAGTTTTGTAACTAACTCCGCTAAGACAAAGAGAAATAAAAATTTCAGCATGCTTCAATAATCAAAGCAAATCCTAACAGCATTTAATGTTCTCCCTATTTGGTACAAATGGAGGTGTGCTACCAGTGAGGAGGAGGAACGCATTCGCTTTGCCTTTACATCATCTGACATTCACTTTGTTTTTTTTGATGTGTATGTGTACAGGTCCTGGGGCTTGAACTCAAGGCCTGGGTACTCTCCTTGAGCTTTTTCTTACTCAAGGTTAGCCCACTAGAGCCACAGCTCCACTTCTAGCTTTTTGGATAGCTAATTGGAGATAAGAGTTTCACAGACTTTCTTTCCTAGATTGGCTTCAAATTGCAATCCTCAAATCTCAGGCACAGGCATGACCCACCAGCATCTGGCTGCTACTGACTCTACTAGCTGTTGTTTGGCAGAAGCACAAAGTAGCTCAGATCACCTCATTACATTTACAGCATACAACAGCAGCCAGGACCCGCTCTGTCTCCTTCCTAATTCTTTCCCCTAGTACTTCATTGTTAAATTGTTTTAGTTCCACTAGACTCGATACTCAGAGACATAAAATCTGGATATTGAGGCTCAAAGCCAGCCTTGGCAGGAAAGGTCAGTCCATGAGACTCTGACCCACAAAAGATATCCAGGCAAAGACAGAAGTAGAGGTGTGGCTCAAGTGACACAGCGGAGTGCTCAAGCCCTGGTACTAGCACCAAAAACAAAAGTGAAAACAAGGGGAAAAGACTTCATTTAGCAAATCACAATGACAAAAATAACCTCACTTAAAACTTCATTCCACTTCATGGAACCTAACTGTCGTAAATATATTTTCCGTTCAAGAGCTTCCATCAACAAGCCCTGGCTACTGTGTCAATCTAACTACTGTCATCATGTAAATCATGGCTGATACCTAAACCAGACAAAGCAAATAGAGAAGTCCTCAGAAAAGGGGAAAGCCTATGCTTCACAGTGGAAAGAAAGCAACATACGCCGATGCATCTCCCGGTAGAGAATGGTCAGTGCTTGGAGTGAGTTGTCATCTGTGGGCTCCAGAGCGGCCACTTCCTGAGCCAGAGTGAAAGCTTCCTCTTGCTTTCCAGTTCTCTGTAAACCAATTGCCTTTAGGACCTACCAGCAAGGAAAGAAATGTCAGTTTTGCCTGTTTCTTTTTTGAGGATGGGGGGGCAGTACTGTGGTTTGAACTAAGAGCTTCATACTTGCTAGATAAGCAATCTACCACTTTAGCAATGTGTCCTACCAAATCCATTTTTAAAATGAAAAGCTGAGCTGGGTGCCAGTGGCTCATGCCTGTAATCCTAACTACTCAGAGGCTGAGATCTGAGGATCATGGTTCAAAGCCAGCCCAGACAGCAAAGTCTGTGAGACTCTTATCTCCAATTAACCACTCAGAAAAAGCTAGAAGTGGCACTGTGGCTCCAGTGGTAGAACACTAGCCTTGAGCACAAAGAGGTTCAGGGACAGCTCCCAGGTCCTGAGTCAAGCTCCAAGACCACCAAAAGAAGAAAAGGAAAAGCTGAGACAGGAGAAAGAAATGGAGAGTTCAAGGTCAATCCCTAAGGCAAGCTTATGTGGCAGTTTATGGATCAGCACAATCTTAAATTTAAACATTGAATATAATTTAAGATTTCTTCCTATTTGCTTAGTTTTTTTTTTTTTGGTCAGTTGTAGGGCTTGAACTCTGGGCCTGGGCGCTGTCCCTCAGCTCTTCAGTTCAAGGCGAGCGCTCTACCACTTGAGCTACAACGCCACTTCCGGTTTTCTGGTGGTTTATTGGAGATAAGAGTTTCATGGACTTTCCTGCCCAGGCTGGCTTTGAACAGCAATCCTCAGATCTCAGCCTCCTAAGTAGCTAGGATTACAGGCATGAGCTACTGGTACCTGGCTATTTTTGTTTTTTGAGAGTAGTTTTTTGTTTGTTTGGGGGGGGCGCATTGTTCTGGGGATCAAACCTCAAGCCTTGTACATTCTAGACAAACACAATACTTGCTGGTACCTTTGCTCAGGACTGCCTCCAACTCAAGATCCTCCTGTCCCCTGAGATTACAGGAGTGTACCAACTGCCAAACCTTAATTTAGTCATACTAAGAGTGTATAGTAGCCACATAGGGCATGCTATAAAATATTCTAAAATGGCACAAATACTAAAGAGAGCAAACATCTCCTTCCTTTAAGGAACTTAAAAAAAAAAAGCTGGAGATGTGGCTCAAGTGGTGGAGTATTTGCCTAGAAAGCTCAATGCAAATGTAAACAATCCCAAGCTCCAAGTTCAAACTCCAGTACTGCCAAAAATAGTAATAGGGCTGGAAATGTGGCTTAGTGGTACAGTGCTTGGTTAGCATGCATGAAACCCTGGGTTCAATTCCTCAGTACCACATAAACAGAAAAAGCCAGAAGTGGTACTGTGGCTCAAGTAGTAGAGTGCTAGCCTTTAGCAAAAAGTAGCTCAGGACAAGGCCCAGGCCCTGAATTCAAGCTCCAGGATTGGGGGAAAAAATAGTAATAATAATAGTCTTTAACTCCTTCATGGGAAGCAGGAAAAGTTTTTATTTCTCCCTCCTTTAACCTTATCTTTATACTTAAAAAAATTTTGCTAAAAGGAAAAAAAAATAAAATAAAAGGAAAAAAAAGTTGTAAAAAAGGAAAGTCCAATTAAGAATTACAAATATAACCATATATATGAATACTCGAGCTCAAAAAAACTTACCTTAGCACAGTGAAGATCCTTGTGTTTCTTCAACAATTTGTCTGCCTGCTGAATTGCCATTTTATTATTCCCATTATCAAGATAATCTACAAAGAGAAAATATGTTATAGTCATTACATTCCTACAGCAAAAAATACAAAAATGGGGGAGGGGGTTGTTCACGTGGTAAAGGACCTGCTTAGCAAGCATGAGTCTCAGAGTTCAATTGCAAGGCTGGGAAGGGGGCTCAGTGGTAGAGCGCTTGCCTTGAATGCCTAAGGCCCTGGGTTCGATTCCCCAGCACCACATATGCAAGAAGAAAAAAGCAGGAAGTGGTGCTGTGGCTCAAGTGGTAGAGCGCTAGCCTTGAGCTGAAGCACTGAGGGACAGTTCCCAGGCCCAGAGTTCAGGCCCCATGACCGGACCCAAAAAAAAAAAAAAAAGAACTAACCACCAGGTACTGGTGGCTCAAACAATTCTAGCTACTCAGGAGACAGATCTGAGGATCATGGTTCAAAGCCAGCCTAGGCAGGAAAGTCTGTGAGACCCTAATCTCTAGTTAACTACCAAAAAAACGGAAGTGGAGTTGTAGCTCAAAGTGGTAGAGGCTAGCCTTTTACAAAAGACTCAGGGACAACACTCAGGTCCTGAGTTCAAGCCCCACGACCAACAAGAACAGCAAGAGTCCCATGGACTTCTTTTCTGTCCATGCTGGCTTCAAGCCAAGATTCTCAACTCTCAGCTCCCTGAGAAGTTAGGATCACAGGCATGAGCTACCACAGCATATCTGACATACATATACAGTAGATTAACTTTCACTCAAACAAATCTGTAACCTTGTGTGACTAGTGCACTTATAGTATATTACTAGTAACTATAGCCTTCAACCTGTATGTTAGATCTCTAGACCTGTTCATATAGCATAACCACACTGTGGCCTTATCACCTACATCTCCCTTGTCTACCACTCCCAAACTTTGTCACCACTGGGGTGGAGAGGGAAGTCAAAAGGAAGGGGAATAAGCTCCTTTCTCAGGGTCTTCTTCCCTGTCTCTTCATTTCTTCACCTAACTCCTGCTCTTCTTTCATAACTAAACTTATCGCAGACCCTAGGTCTGATCCAGTATGACCAAAAGATGAAAATCAGTTGGGATTACAAACTCCTAAAAATCAGAATCTTGTCTGTGTTGTTCTCATTCCCTTACCTTCCCTGTGCCTAACTTATAATAAGTTCTAAGTTAATATGCAGGATGAAGAAAGGAATTTATGCTGGGCCCCACTGGCTCACATTGAGATCTGAGGACCAAGATTCAAAGCCAGCCTTGGCAGACAAATCTTATTTCCAATTAACCAGAAAAAGCTGGAAATGGAGGTGTACCTCAAGTGGTTGAATGAAAAAGCTAAGCATAAGCATGTGAGCCTCTTAGTTCAAGCTCCAGTACCAGCATCAAAAAACAAAAGAAAAAGAAATAAAAATAAATGCACAGGGGCTGGGAACGTGGCTCAGGGGTAGAGTGCTTGCCTTGCATGCATGAGGCCCTGGGTTGGATTCCTCAGTATCACATACACAGAAAAAGCTGGAAGTAGGTGCTATGGCTCAAGTGGTAGAGTGATAGCCTTGAGCTGAAGAGCTCAGGACAGCACCCAGGCCCAGAGTTCAAGCTCCACGACCAGCAAAAAAAAAAAAAAAAGCACAAAAAAAAATAAAGGATAAAGAAAAGGACTGGGGGGCTGGGAAGGTGGCTCAGTGGTAGAGCGCTTGCCTTGCATGCATGAGGCCCTGGGTTCCATTCCTCAGCACCACATAAGCAGAAAAAGCCAGATGTGGCACTATGGCAAAAGTGGCAGAGTGCTACCCTTCAGCAAAAGAAGCTCAGGGACAGTGCCCAGGCCCTGAGTTCAAGCCCCAGGACTGGCCAAAAAGAAAAAAGAGAGGGCTGGGAAGGTGGCTCAGTGGTAGAGTGCTTGCCTTGCATGTGTGAGGCCCTGGGTTCGATTCCCCAGCACCACATAAGCAAAAAGAAAAAAAGCCGGAAGTGGCGCTGTGGCTCAAGTGGTATTGAGCTGAAGAGCTGAGGGACAGCACCCAGGCCCAGAGTTCAGGCCCTACAACCGGACCCCCCCCTCAAAAAAAGCAAAGAAAAAAGAGAGAGATGCACTTATCTGTAAGATGGTACAAAGTAACTAAACAATACTTATTTGAGCAGAAAAAGAAAGTGGCTGAAAGAACCTTTCCTTTAATTCAACAAAGATGATAAGCAATGGCCCGGTACAGAGGTACATGCCTGTAATTCCAGCACTTGGGAAGGGGAAGCAGAATAGAGTTCAAGCCCAGACTGGGCTACAAAAACAGTTCCAGCCCCGTCTGTGCTACATAAACAGACCTTGACTGGAAAAAGGAAACAAAACACAAAGGGACCACACCAGGCAGCTCAATGCAAAGACTGGGGATACCTTTCAACAAATAAGGTAAAATTTTCAGAATGTTCTACTACCTTTTAAATGACAATACATGTCACTGTAAAACAAAACAAAACACTATAAGGCTTAGCTGGGCTAGATGTGCGATTCAAGTGTGAGGGGAAAGGGAAAAAAAGACAAGTAAGCCAGGCACCAGTAGCTCACACCAGTAATCCTAGCTACTAAGGAAACCGAGATCTGACAAATGTAGTTCAAAGCCAGCTGGGGCAGACAAGTCTACGAGATTCTTATCTCCAATTAACAACCAGAAGTGGTGCTGTGGCTCAAAGTGGTAGCTAGCCATGACAGCCTTGAGCTAAAAAGCTCAGAGAGTGGGTAGGCCCTTAGTTCAAGCCCTCCCCCCCTCCCAACAACAACAACAAAGTGAGAGAGCAAGGCCTTGAGTTCAAGGTGAGTACTTTAAAAAAAAAAAAGCTGCCGGGCGCTGGTGGCTCACACCTGTAATCCTAGCTACTCAGAAGGCTGAGAGATCTGAGGATCTCGGTTCAAAACCAGCCCGGGCAGGAGAGACCGTGAGACTCCTATCTCCAATAAACCACCAGAAAACCAGAAGTGGCGCTGTAGCTCAAGTGGTAGAGCGCTCGCCTTGAGCTGAAGAGCTGAGGGACAGCGCCCAGGCCCAGAGTTCAAGTCCCATGACCGACCAAAAAAAAAAAAAAAGCTTCCCCCAGCCCCCGCCTCAGTATTGAGGCTAGAACCCAGGACCTTGCACATGCCACCTGAGCACTCTGCCACTAATCTCTGTCCCCATGACCACCAAAAACAACAAAGAAGTAGTGAAGAAAAAAATAGGTTGTATGAAGTAATTTTTCTACAGAAAATCAAAAGTCTTCACTACCACAATACTTAGGGAAAGCAGACAAAACTCATAAAGTTATTTTGCTTTTATGCCAGTCCTGGAATTTGAACTCTGGGCCTGGACATCGTCTCTGAGCTTTTTTTGCACAAGGCTAGCTAGCGCTATACCACTTGAGCCACAGCTCCACTTGCAGCTTTTTGCTGGTTAATTAGAGATAAGAGTCTTGTGGTTTCAAACCACAATCCTCAAACCTCTGCCTCTTGGGTACAGGCATGAGCCACTGACACCCAGCCAAAGGTTTAATCATACTTAACAGGAAAGAAGTTCAGAATGAATACCGCCTTTGATTGAGGATGCAGGAGCTTTCATTAATGAGTAAAAGCAGAATAACTTGCTGACATTTGACCAGACACTCAAAGGAAAAATTCAAACTCACCAAAGTGATCATGTCAGTGGCTCATACCTACAACGCTAGCTACTCAGATTTGAGGATCATGATTCAAAGCTAGCCTGGGCAGAAAAAGTCCATGAGACTCTTATCTCCAATTACACCAGAAAACAACTGGAATTGGCACTGTGGCTCAAAATGGTACAGTGCCAGCCTTGAGTGAAAGAGCTCAGGGACAGTGCCCAGGCCCTGAGTTCAAACTCCACAACTGCCCACCGCCCCCCCGCCTCCAAAAAAAAAAAGTGATTGCTGTTGAAAAGACACTGCTGGGAATCATGCATCCCTGAACTAGGCTGGTCAAAGACTGGAGGTACAACAGCTAGAACAAGGATCTGTGCATGGGCCAAGGGTGCTAGTATGTATTCTACTTTGAAATGTCACTATTCCTATTTTGCAATTTGCTAACCTAGTAATTCCCATATTCTACAGTTGTTAAATCTAATACCAGGCTATCATTTTCACTTCCAATTGGTTAAAAAGTGGTGAGAGGGTACTTCGTTTAACAGAATCAAACTTTTTTTTTTGGGGGGGGGAGTCTGTTGTGAGACTTGAACTCAGGGCCTTGGGCACAGTCCCTGAGTTCTTTCCATCAAGGCTAGTACTCTATTACTATACATCACAGCACCTCTTATGGTTTTGCAGTCGTTAACTGGAGATAAGTCTTCTCCAGGACTTTCCTACCCAGGCTAGCATTGAACCTCCATTTTCGGATCAGTCTCCTAAGTAGCAAGGAGCCACTCACATCTGGCTTAAAAATACTTTTAAATTAAGCTGGGCACCAGAGGCTCAAGCCTGTAATCCTAGCTATTCATGAGGCTGAGATATGAGGATTGTGGTTCAAAGCCAGCCCAGACAGGAAAGTCCATGAGACTCTTTTCTCCAATAAACTACCAGAAAACCAGAAGTGGCACTGTAAGCTCAGGGACAGTATTCAAGCCCCACAACCCACCAAAACAAACTAAAAAAAAAAGAAAAAAAATTTAAGTCATTGATGGTAGAAGAAAGTACCAAGTCATACAGGAGTACAAAAGCTAGTGGAGGGGTTGGGAAAGTGGCTCAGTGGTAGAGTGCTTGCCTCGCAAACATGAGGCCCTGGGCCCCATTCCTCAGCACCACATCAACAGAAAAAGCTGGAAGTGGCACTATGGCTCACATGGTAGAGCACTCTCCTTGAGCTGAAAAGCTCAGGGACAGCGCCCAAGGCCCATAGTTCAAGCCCCACGACCAACAACAAAAAAAGAACTAGTAGAAACTATATAGCACAATAGAACTATTTCAAAAAGTCAGCATGTAGCCGGACGCCGGTGGCTCATGCCTGTAATCCTAGCTACTCAGGAGGCTGAGATCTGAGGATTGAAATCCAAAGCCAGCCCGGGCGG